CTATATGGTCCAGGATAGATTAATTTCAGATTATTATCAATCAGTAGTTCAGTAGGAGACTGTAAATGGCAAAAACATTTGGCTTTTGAATTCTTAAGAATACGTGAAGCGCCGCTTTGTCTAAGGGTCACAATTGTGTTGTACACAAAGTTTGACATCTTTCCATGACCCTTGAGCCAAGGCCTTTTCTCCATGTATACATTGCTCACAGTCCTTTTTTCCAGGCACTCTACATCGCAGTTCTCTCTACCTCACTCCATGCTCTCTGCTCTCTCATGTTTGACTTTGTTCTTCTGTGGAAGCCTGGGGGTCTCATCTACAACAGGAACAGACAAACATCATTTCCTATTAGTCGATGAAACCTCAGGTATAATGGATTTTTTAAAAAATGCTCATGTGTATTCAAGTGCTTTAATTAAATGTGACAACCAAGAACTGACAGATGATTGCAACTCTCTTACCATGGGACAAAAAAGGTTAATTGTTAAAGGTCACAAAAACACATTTAATATTTACCATCATCAGTGTTGGGCAGTAACGCTTTACTGTAATAATATTACTTTTCCCTGTAACTAGTAGTGTAATTGTAAAGTGAAGTGTAGTTACTTTTCTAAAAAACTCGTTACTAAACGCACCATCCTTGACATGAATCCACGACTGTGCGGCAGCTCAGCGGTACCGTATGTAAAGACCATAGCATACTCGCTGTTGTGAATACGATATTAGTTAATAACTCGGGAGAGATGCTTTGTTTGGGGGCAAAGGCAGGGTGGTAGTGAAAGCAGTGTTTCCCATAATTAGCCTATAATTTGGTTAATTGTCAACGCTGACCACCACATTAATTTAAAATTTTTTTACTAGGCATATTTAAAATCATGTTTGACCGAGGAGCTGTATTGAGGAGCAAATATTCGTGCAGCACCTCCTGGCGCGCTCTCTTTCTCTCTCGTGAACACCGCTGCACAAACTTGTCCAAAGTCTGTGTTCGGTCCCGTTCATACAGTGTTTACTGGGAGGCTGCTGAGCGCGGTGTCGTTGCACGCTTGGCTCCTGTTCTGGTGCCCAAACCAGCGCCGCTTGCTGAGGCCTAAAACCTCCAGTGCCGAGTAGAGGTGTAACGTTAAACACAAAACACTCCCAGGTGCTGCGAGCTCCCAGTCCGGGCTGAGTCAGCTACGACCACTAGGCTAACTGAGCTTATAAGATCACAGCAGCTACTTAATGGCACTTAGCAGTTACTTTAGCAACAAGTAACACATCTGTTCATCAGCAACCTCCGTAAATCACAGAGAGTTGAGACAGAGTAGCTGGGGGACACGGGGAACTTTAATGTTATTTTATGAGGCCCAACAGTTACTGTGTTGCCTCGTTACTAAACGCACCATCCTTGACATGAATCCACAACTGTGCGGCAGCTCAGCGGTACCGTATGTAAAGACCATAGCATACTCGCTGTTGTGAATACGATATTAGTTAATAACTCGGGAGAGATGCTTTGTTTGGGGGCAAAGGCAGGGTGGTAGTGAAAGCAGTGTTTCCCATAATTAGCCTATAATTTGGTTAATTGTCAACGCTGACCACCACATTAATTTAAAATATTTTTTACTAGGCATATTTAAAATCATATTTGACTGAGGAGCTGTATTGAGGAGCAAATATTCGTGCAGCACCTCCTGGCTCGCGCTCTTTCTCTCTCGTGAACACCGCTGCACAAACTTGTCCAAAGTCTGTGTTCGGTCCCGTTCATACAGTGTTTACTGGGAGGCTGCTGAGCGCGGTGTCGTTGCACGCTTGGCTCCTGTTCTGGTGCCCAAACCAGCGCCGCTTGCTGAGGCCTAAAACCTCCAGTGCCTGAGCAGAGGTGTAACGTTAAACACAAAACACTCCCAGGTGCTGCGAGCTCCCAGTCCGGGCTGAGTCAGCTACGACCACTAGGCTAACTGAGCTTATAAGATCACAGCAGCTACTTAATGGCACTTAGCAGTTACTTTAGCAACAAGTAACACATCTGTTCATCAGCAACCTCCGTAAATCACAGAGAGTTGAGACAGAGTAGCTGGGGGACACGGGGAACTTTAATGTTATTTTATGAGGCCCAACAGTTACTGTGTTGCCTTAGTAGACAGCAGAGGACGCAGACAGAACTAAATAGATTGTGATCTGTAGCACGACAGTAATGATCTCTCTGAAAAGATAGATCGTGGAGACATTTTAATCGTCCACAATCTAATATTGCCCACCCAGTAATAAGTAAAGTAATACTTTAAAGGAATAACTAGTAATATAATAATTTCTGAGTAACTTGCCCAACACTGACCATCATAAATTAGAAAAGAGTTACAAACAAACACTCAAACAAAAGTACACATACACTTACAGTAAGAGTAAAGTAGTACTCTACTTGTCTTTTGACTGAGTTAAAGTATGAAACAAAGGCAGGAGTTTTTGTATATTTCATAATTAAAGCAATTTAACTCACCATCAGTGAGTTCTCCTTATCTCTAACTCAGCGCAGGGGTCAGAACCTCCATCTGAAAAACAAGAGCATACAAAAAGTAACACCTCATACTATATAGTGTGGGTAAGGCTGCATCCTTCTGTATTTGTTAACTGTTAGAGAGTTGAAAAGTGTTTCAGGTTTTAAATGGACAGCATCCTTACTGCCAAAAACATATTATCCACTGGTCTTCCTCTCTTCACTGTGTGTGGGGTGGAGGTGAAAGTGAGACTTTCACCTGTGAAAAACAGCAACAGTCATTTATTATTACTCTGTGCTCTAATAAAAACCTAAGTTGCAGAGTACAAAGACTGCCGGTGAATAAAAGGAGTTTTAAAATGACTTGTCTTGACCTTCCAATGTTACTGGCCTGTATGGATCAGTTACACCATTTTCACTATACTAAAACTAGAGCAATTACACACCCAATACCTCCTTTGCGAGCATTTTCTTTCCTTTCTTCATTTTCTTTTTGTTAAACATTTTCACATACTTGTTAGTGTTGTTTAGATTTTTTTATATAACACTCGGCTAATTTTGTTAGGCCTTTTTTAAATAATGACTGCACATACAGTATAAACACCGTCCGTGGAAATTGTGGTACTGACAGAGGATTAATCAGATAATTGCACACTAATAATTATACGAGGACTGAATATCAACTGCTCTTCTAAAGGTGTAACTGTTTCTACAGTGTATATATTCGCGCAACATCTCTCGCTCACTCTCTCCGTCTCTCATGAACAGCGCTGCACAAATCTCTCCAACACAAAGCTGTCAATGTCAGAGACCCACCTTAGTTGGTATAGGGAATTAAACCTGAACGTGTCACTTACAATCGATGCCGTAGCGGTGAGAGTCGAGCTTTCAGTACAACGTAAACAAAGAAAGCAGCATGTAACCTTTCAGACCCACCGCACAGAAAGAGGCCCATTATTTCAGCGACTTGCGCCGCGCTAGGGCACTTTGTTGCTGTGTAGAGGATCGCGCACCGCACGCCATGCCGCAGTCGAAGTACTTTTGTGCTGAACCCAGCGCAAATCGCTTCTTTTCTGAAAGGTTCTTTATGGAAGAACATAGTCCTTTCAATACCTTCCGTCACTGAACATTTAACGTTACATCTGTGTTGAAAAAATGTTGCCAGGTGTAAAACACTACATAACATCAGGAGCTTTTAGACTTTCAGGACTGTAGGCTACCAATTACCTGCATTTCAGTTATTAATAACACTGCATGAATGATGTCTAGATGAGAGTTGATGACAACAATTCAGTTTATTTCCCTCTTATTAACAGTTTCCCCTGGGGAATAAATGAAGTTAATATTCCTCTTATAGTAATAATACTTACATATTATAGAAACACAATTGTTAATGTAATTTAATAAAAAATCAACTTAAGTTATTACTAGTGAAAATTAATGCATAATCGTGAAACCGTGATTATTTCTCTGACAATAATCTGTAATCGTTGCATCCCTATTGATGATAGGGCTGGGAAATCTGTCACAATTTAGGGTGCTATGATTACATAACAATAATAATTCCCAATGTATCTTTGTGGGTATAAAATTTTTGTTCCATAGAATTACTTTATGAATGACCACATTCATAACAACCTAATCATTAAAACCAATATAATAATCACTTATTTCCATTTGCTTTATTAATACAATCAAAGTACACAAACTGACAAGTATGTAACTGAATTGAATCTTGACTAATAAACTGTTGACATCTTTGAACAGACTCCACTTATTTTTCAGTAGGTCGTTTACTTGTCATCCACTCTCAACGTTTTACCCACATTACGACTGTCGCAGCAAGAACTGCATGGTATCTACAACTTTGCAAGTTGACAAGGCACAGCAACAAACTGACTGCAGTCCCACTGACATCTTGCTCTCAGGATTGGCCAAAAAGTTGCAGTCTCTGCCTGGGACTCTACTTTCATTTAAAAAAGAAATCTGCCATCAACTTTTGTCTGAGAGAACAGAACGAGCAGGGACTGATTTGAGTTCATGCTCAGGACAAAGGCTTTTTTACATAGTCATTTTAGTAGTATAGTGTTGAATAATACAAATAAATTATGTTAATAACTGACAATTAACGTAAAAGTTAATTTACCTTGAAGAAATAGTTTTTTGGGGGAATACATGTATTGTCTTTCTTTCTGAGGGTTTATTGAGAAGATCAAATCACTTTAGTGTGCATGCTAAATATAAATAAATCTATATTATCTAAAGCTAATTGGCTGCTGGCTCTAACTCCATATTTAGTGAATAGACATGACAGTCCTTTACTTTTCTCATCCAGCACTTGGCGAGAAAGTGAATAAGCACACGTACCAAAATGTTGCAACTGTTCTAACATGTCATAATATAACATCCATAACTTCACTAGAAGTTTTAGTCCGTGTACACGGTGACAGCGTGCGTGCTGGTCAGGACTGGTAAATGAAACTGTTGAAACACGAGAGACTGGCTTGTGCTGAGTAGGGATGCAACGATTACAGATTTTGTTGGTACGATTATAGTCAGAGGAATAATCACGGTTTCAAGATTATCATGATTATTTAATTTAACAACACTAGTAATTACTTAAGTAGGTTTTTAATATTACATTAACAATTATAAAACTATAATATTTAAGTATTATTATTAATATAAGAGGAATATTAACTTTATCTCCCAGGGGAAATTGTTATTGGGGAGGGGAATAAACTGAACTGTTGTCATCAACTCTCATCCACATGTATAAGTTTTAGTGAAAATGATGATGAATGTTCAATGATGAAAATTGAGAACATGTCTCATGCAGCGTTATTAATAACTGAAATGCAGGTAATTGGTAGCCCACAGTTCTGGAAGTTTATAAGCTCCTGATGTTCTGTTAGTGTTTTACACCTGCAACATTTTCTCAGCACAGACAGGAGGAAGCAACAGGATGTTAAATGTTCAGTGACTGAAGGTCGGCAGAGGACAACGTTCTTCCATAAAGAACCTTTCACAAAAGAAGTGATTTGCACTGTGTGGAAGCTGGGTTCAGCGCAAAAGTTCAGCTAATTTGACTGCTGCTTGCGTGCGAGCTCGTCAAGCTTTGGCGTGGCACAAGCCATTGAAAATAGGCCTCATAGCGCAGCGGTGCTGTCGGTTACACCTGCTTTGTTTGTTTATGTTGTACTGAAAGCTCGATCTCAGTGCGACAGCATTGATTGTAAGTGTCACAATTATATTTAATTCCCCAACAACCTGCCACATTATTTAAATAAGTTATTATGTATTACCTTTACTTACTTATTTTAAAACAATTGTAAAATGGGTCGCCAAATTTACTTGGGCAGCTGTTAATCTACCTGGACGGCCCGCCCAAGTAAACCCTATGTGTGGGAAACGCTGATTAATTAACCGTGACGTTTTAAAGCACGGTTAATAGTGAAATCCAGCAATCGCTACATCCCCAGTGCTGAGCAATATCCCATTCAGTCAGCTGTTTACCCCAACCCCTTGTAAAATGTAGCTTTTCCACTGCAGGCTATATAATCCATCTCGCCTGATGTTAGCAGTAAGATTACTGGCAGCTAAAGTTCAGGAACAGCGTTAAGATTAAGTACTGTAAAATAATCACAACTTCTAAGCCTGCAGATATTCAATTTCTGATTAGGGCTGTACGTAACGATTATTTTTCAAGTCAATTAATCAAACGATTATTTTTTCAATTACCCAATTAATCTAACGACTAATTTTCTGTATTCTAAAAGGAAAAAAGTTGCCTATTACTCGATTAACATACCAATTTATCCAAAATAAATATCAAAAACATTCCTAATAAATAAATCTATATTTTAATCATCCTGATGAAGCACATTAGAATAATGTGTGTGTATATATATATAAAATAAGAATAGCAGCAAATCGTAAAATGAATCAAATTTCCACGCCATTGATGTGTTGTGATAACAACAATAACAGACATTAATTATTAGGCTACTTTACTTAAAACTTTTAATGTTTTTGACATGGATTAATTTCAATATTGAGTACTGCAGTATGATAATCAAATGTATTTCTGCATCAGTGTCGGGCAAAGAAAACAATTGAAAGGATTCACAGACTGTACAGACAGTCACAGATCGTCTGTAATGTTAGTTTCAGCTGTTTTCTCGCTCATATGTGGCCGTTAATTAAAACAGAAAATATGAAACGGCCGAACGTTCGATGTCTTGAGGTGTAACGTTATGCTACAATGACAGCAGCGGGGCAAAAATTACTTTTAACATGAAAGCGATTAAGAAATACTACGTGTCCTTGTGCTGATGATGTGCCATGCTCGTGTGGCGACAGAAAGTAAATAGGATTTGCGGTGCTGCCGTCAGTGCTCCAGGATACTTTCGCTCACGTGTTCATGCTGCTTCACGTATTCGTGGACAGTTGTGCTGCAGTGAAGCTTTTCTCAGATCACAGAGACTGTCTGTCTAAAATACTTCCAAACTTTAGATGGTCGAAGGCACGGTCTTGTAGCTGGAGCTTGTCCGGGGGAATCCTGCCAACACTGGATCGACTATGTTGACGAATTGCCCGAGCCCTAAATTCCTGTTTATATATCGGTCTGCAGCTGATATTGTTTCATTTAAAAATGTCAGCTTTAACGCTGAATCACAACTACTACTACTTTTACAGTGAAGAAAGAAGTCAGTGTCAGGATGGAGTAAAGAGTTTGTAAAGGCACATACCTGTGTTTGACTCATAGCGATCTCTTCCTGGACCTAACACCAATGAGAATAATGAAAATGATGTCATGTTATACTCTGAACAAAATATAAAATAACAATGTGTAGTAGTAATATTAAGTGATACAGTACTGCTGCATTTCATATCATATACATCTCTCTACACAGTGAGAGAGAGAGAATAAACACATGTTTTAAGTGAATTGGACACCCTGTCATAAATACGAGGTTACGTCTCAAGTCTCCAGTGAGACAATGTGCCATTTGTGCTTTGTTCCAGATACTGCTTTATACTCAGTAGCGACTATTCAGGACACCTGTACAATCTACTGCAATTCTGTACAACAGGTTCAGTTTCTGACCATTTTGTCAGGAATGTGTAAATTCAGTTCTGTTTATTACTAAGCCTATAGTTCAAGGTGTTGTTACACTGAAAGGTGATTTTGCTCTCCCTGTTTATATATATGAGTAGGGCGGAATATTAAACACATCTGAATATGATGTAGTCCAGTACAACATTTTCACCAACTATGACCTCAGTGCTAAAAAATTTAATTCACTTAACACCTATATGACTGTGTCAAAAAAGAAAACTGATTAAAGGCATCATTAAAGTAGACTTTGTGGCAGCACTGTTGTAATGGATTGTATAAGACTTTACAGGTGTACTTTATAAAGTAAGTGTTACTTTTGAAAATCCGTTGCAGGCTGCGGGCAGATTTTACCTAATTTTATAAACAAACTGTTGTCAGGAAACATCACGTTTTCTTCTTTTATGGTGGCAACTGTTATTCAGCTCTCCCTGTCAGAAGCTTTCCCTCCACTAACTAAACAGACAGTCACAGAGGTGGGAGTGAGACAGGCAATAGGAAAGGGTACTAAATCAATCAAGTAGTAGCTGATAAATATTTAATTTTCACACAATAAGCCATGAGAACAGAGCTGCTTTGGGATCAAAATAATAATAAAAAGAGACTGTGTTACATCTACTTCAGTGTCCTCTCTCAGGTGTAATGTTGGCTCACCTGTCTTGGGCCACATCCGCACTACTACGTTTCTGTTTAAAAGGAGATTTAAACCAAAAACGATCTCCGTCCCCAGCAGCATTTTATCTGCATAACAGAATGGATCTCTGTCTCTGAATACGTGAAGTGGCCGTCCACATAGCCTACACTGAGCATGCGCGTGCCGGTATAAACAGGAAGCACATTGTCTACTTCGCATTAGTAGAAGATTTGTTAAAAGAAGAAGGTACTACTACAGACTAAAAACCACACCAGAGATAGTTCTGCATGGATCTAACACGAGGTGGAATTGTTACTGACAGTAACAGGGGAGTTAAAAGCAGCTGTGGCAGCAGAAAAAACAGACTGGGATTTGTCGCAAAGCAAATACGGCCTCATGCACAGTAGCCTATAAGTGTATTGTTATTTACACAGAAAAAATATTTACAATTTAACAGCACTATTCTGTTGCATCTGCACTAAATCCATTAAATATGCACTTCTGCCATCATGTTAAACCATGTACCTATCAATTGTGTGCTGGAGATCTGACTGGAGCGGTTCTGGAGCCACTCAATTAAAGTTAGAGCTTGCTGTTTTCTTCCATTCAAAATAATATTGCACATTAACATCATTTGACAAGAAGCAGAAATATCTATAAATTACCTGCTCTGAAATTGCCTCTTGCGTCGGTTAAGATGAAGTCTTCGTCTTTAAATTTTTCAAACAAATCTCTCCAAACTCCTGCTAACAAATCTCTCCAAACTCCGGCCACGCTCTGTTTCTTCTGCTCCTCTCTGCTGCGCTGCTGAAAGGTTGGGGGAGGGGGAAAGTTCCAGGTGCAGGGGGGCGTGTCCCTCCGCTGATGGCCCATTAATTAAGCCTGAGCCAGAGGCTGCAAAGTCACCACAATATTCTCCACTTCTCAGCTCTGACACAGAGGCCTGTGTTACAGGCTACAGTGTTAAAATAAAGCAAGAAACACATTTATCAGTGACAGTAGAAACACCAGGCTTACATACTGTTAGAAGTAAAATTTCATATATTTAAAATTTTACTTAACTAAAAGTATAAAAGTACCATAAGCAAACACCGTAATTTAATTGTTGACTGTATTTTATTCATCTAAATCTGAAATGCAGCTAGTAACAAAATCTATACAATTTTAGACGTATAAAGAAAAATGGTGGTTTTAGAGAGTCTTGAATCTGTGGAACTGTACAGGCCACTTTGTGTGTATTTGTATATGGGGCAGCGGAGGTTTAAGGGGGACCTCAACACTGTCAGGAGAACTGTCTGTGTTCCCTCCACATTTGCCCAGGTTCTGGCTAAGACATCATAGGAAGAGACTTGAGGGAGATGCTTTGCTCAGTCTTATTAATGGCTCTTTTTTGTCCTCAGGAGATAAAAAAGGATGCCCTGAGCACATTTTGAATACTGTACCTTCTGTTTTAAGTGCAACAACTTTTCCAGTGCACCATCCAGCTGATAGTTACTTTAAATATAGTACAATGGTCCCTTACTCAAGAAAAGTAGAAATAGATATTTATCACAAGTCCTCAAAAAGGTATAAAAGTATTCCATAGTCATAGTGAATATACTTAAGTATCAAAAGTAAAAGTGCTCATTCTGTATGACATTGTAGTACCTCAGTTCATGCGCATTCTGTCCTTAATGAATTAATCTCCAAACTCAGTGGTTGGTGTTCCAGTTAGCTGGCTGTAACAAAGTTGTGCAATTTTTCATTGACAAATAATTATTTTTTTCATCTC